GTTCCGGCTTTTACAGACACCAGACTTTATTTAAGTTTGCACCGACTTTATTTAAGTTTGCACCGAGTTTTTATTTAAGTTTGCATCGACTTTATTTAAGTTTGCACCGACTTTATTTAAGTTTGCACCGAGTTTTTATTTAAGTTTGCATCGACTTTATTTACGTTTGCACCGACTTTATTTAAGTTTGCACCGACTTTATTTACGTTTGCACCGACTTTATTTAAGTTTGCACCGACTTTATTTAAGTTTGCACCGACTTTATTTAAGTTTGCACCGACTTTATTTAAGTTTGCATCGACTTTATTTACGTTTGCACCGACTTTATTTAAGTTTGCACCGACTTTATTTACGTTTGCACCAACTTTATTTAAGTTTGCACCAACTTTATTTAAGTTTGCACCGACTTTATTTAAGTTTGCACCGACTTTGTTTAAGTTTGCATGTCCCTTGTGGGCCATCGTAGATTTGGAATGCGAAATCAAACAATATAAATCGAAGGATATATTATATTAATCGTATGAAAAAATAGTGGGACATTGGGTATATACTTACAAAATGGCATGGTATTTATGAATGACTTTTTATCGATCTACAGTATGAGTATATTTATTATAACCATGGAAGAATTGGCTAAATGAAATCATCGCACACGTCGTTGTTTTGACAAATTGTTGCCAGGACTTTGGAGTGACAGCTTTTGCTTGTGTTAAAAACTTGAAGCTTTAAACAATATAGTACATTATGGTCAGCACTCAACATGTTGTAGCCCGTGGTCTTTGTGCTTTTGTAAATGGACTTATCTATATATTAAATTTATTTAGATGCCAGGTGTTTTTGTAGCATCTATACTGAAATTATAGAATAATTGATTTAAGACATTTGGTTATAGACTTGCTATTGATTTAAAACATTTGGTTATAGACTTGCTTTGTAAGTGATTGCCACTTGACAGCATGATGGGCTATTCCATTTCATATCCGTACACCCCCTGTCGAGGATACATGTTTTTCATGGTTATACCCCTGAAGAATTTCAAACTCAAAACCTTTTACCCCTGAAGAATTCCAAAATTCCAAGCTCAAAACCCTTTACCCCTGAAGAATTCCAGGGATCCTCGACAGGGGGGTACGGATATTAAATGGAATAGCCCGATGTAAGGCTATAACTAAGCCAAACCTGAAACAATTTTTGCATCAATTTGTGTCTGGATAAAAAATAAGTAGTTAATTTAAATACAGATGTTTCCTTGTCTGTTGCTATGTGAAACAATGTTGTTTGATCAATAACAATGCTCATTTGCTAAAAATATACAAGTATTGATTCCATTTCCAAACTATTATACTATGTGAATATATTGGCAATTAATTCAATTCTATATAAAAGGAGATGTACAGTAGAATTGAAATAGCTACCAGTTTCAATCAAATAACTACTTTAATTTCTGTATCAAGCCTCCTGGGTATTATTGTTTCCTAAGCATCATTGAGGGGGCACTTGTTGTTAATATATGCAAAAAGTCTGGTTACCATTAAAAA